ACCACTATGTTATAGCCCTACGCATCAGAATTTGTGCAGTTGGGTTATATCCCAGCGTTGTGAATACACATAGCTTTGGTGCAACATGGTATTCACGTCATTCTGAGCAAACCAGTGAAATTTCTATCAACAGCCAGCATTGACAAGGCCTACCGTCGGGCCATGGCATTTGTGAGTGGCGATTACTACAGACGTAGTCAACTACCATGTTTCGTGAGTCATCTCTGAGTTCACCAGAATTGCCCTCTTGACCGTCTAGTATTTGTCACGTTCATCGGGCAAGAACGAGACAACTTCCTCAGAGGTACCCGTATTCACTCTATACACTATCCAACATCGCGATAATATTGGACTAGGCCAGAAATATGATTTTCACGTTATGTCTAAGGCCCGCTTACGTAATTCTTGTCAAAAGAGGTAAATCCACAGCACATTGATAAGTTATAAAGGTCGCTATAGGAACAAATGCGATTTTGGTCAATACTGATATCACACAGAGTTACTCACACTGAACACAACATTCAGGGCGACTTCAGGATCGCCAATCATTGCCATTATTTGACCACATCACTGAGCGCCGGTCAGATCGTAGATTCGTTGCATGTGATAATCTGAATATCGCCTATATGAGACAAATTGTTGAAATATTAATCATATTACAAGATAGAGTATTTTAGGTAACATATCATTTTGCGTCCTCTGGCCGAACTGGATTCATAATTTTACGAATGTCCTATTAGCAGACTTTATTGCTTGCGACCTATCTAACGCCTTAGCCGCTGACAATCGTACCGCGGAAATGTAGAGATTCTTCAATTTTCATTTCAAGTATGACAGAATAAAATTGGTCATTTGTGGTCTTATAAAGGTGGTGGTGGGGCCAAGAAATACTTTGGGAGCTAACCTTCGGCATGAGGCTAAACTTCACTAAACGTAGGTGCTTTTCTACCTTTGAAGGGTTCCTGCACGTGAAAGGCAATGGGATCAAAAATAGGAGTACGTATGCTTAAGACTATGAACAGCAAATACCTGAGTGCGGAGGTTTTCACACCCTTTTCACTTTACTCTTGAACATGTTTGCTGCTCTGCTTGTCTCATTAAGTTGACTTTGGTGCCTCGCGCTTTGGATGTCATGCCTGGAGCCTCATATATGCCTTAGGATATCCTTTTGGTGTCACCTGACCCTGCGATACTGGATCTTAATTGATGTGCTCTGGACATCCTGTCCCTGGCGGTTACTATTGCTTCAAGCATAAAATCATAATCACTCTATACCCCTCCGCACAATCTTATTCAGTATCTGAGTAAATGATAGAACATTGTAAAACATTTGTAATGCACGATTGTTCGATGCAGTTCATATAGACTAAACCACATTTAATTCCGTGTAAGAAGTCAACAAAACTATTTGGTGAACTGTTTACTCGACTTGGCTACTGTCCATTTCAGAAGTGTTGCTTTTGTGAGACCCATACAAATGTGGTGTACGGCGCTACCACCGACTTACAATTTCAAGCAGGGACATACTGCCATACTGCCATGCCATTATTCATTCTTTGATTATCCTGTTTCCATAGACGTTTTTGCTATACATTTTCAACCACTCACACACCTTCCGCAGATAACCACTTATAGTAAATTCAATATTAAATGAATGCTGCCTATATAAAACATCCGTACTCTTAGCTTGTTAATCATACCAAGAATTCGTGCAAGTCCAGATGTGCGATATAAATTGTCCCTAAAAGTTTGCTTCGATTATTGCCCATTCTTGTTCCCAAACGTTGTCTCTGCATACAGTATCACAGTCTGAAATTGTCAGTATTAAACATTTTGTATATGTGAGACCAAACAGTTCTCATTAGTAGCAGTCCAAAGTTTCCTAATATGTGCTGGCATAAATGTTACTAGTCAAATATGTTCCATGTCTCTATTGCAAACGTTGAATGCATGAGGCCAAAGCGCTATTTCCATCTTCTTTGGTTATATAACATTTGTTGACAATTTAGTGTTGATGTTCCTATTACCGTTGCTCTTCGTCATCTGTCATTAGAAATGGTTTGATTTTTTACATAGTGTTTTTAATACTTTGTGATAAATGTTTGTAAATAGTATTCAAAGACTATAGCAGGATAATCATTTGATAATTGTATGTATTGGGTTTACACAACATTTTCTCTTTATTATTTACAGTACAAACGACCACGACTCATAAACTCGAATACAAGAATGGTAATCCGACTGTCTCCAACAGTTCTCGAAATGGCTGCCAGAAGTTAGAGGCCAAAGTCAGAATGAATGATAGAAATAATTATTCGAAAGGTTTAGATTGTTCAATGTCAACATTCAAACCTGCGTCTAAATTGCAGTCAAATCCAAAATTATTATTGCCACAAACTGTTGCTGGAGACGATCTTGTGCATGAATATGATGAACTGAAAACTGTCTCTCTGACTGACCGTATTTCGAAAGAATCGTGTCTGCGTTCGAATATGTTATGCTACAAGGCGACCGGAATTACAACTGGCTCATCTAATGAATACGATTACGTAATCAAGCATACTTTTATGACCTTAAGACCACCCGCTCCGGATCCTACTGTAACGAAAACAAACAAGCAGCAAGCTAAATATGAGAAGTTCTTATATTCTTTTAAAAGTATTAACATAAAACCATTATCAAGAGTCCTTCCTGCACCACTATATACAAGGCTGGAAAAAAGGAGAACTAAGAAGACTCAGCCTACTGGCTCCAGTGTTGAGTCAAAAAGTCTTGATTTGGCTAACGAATTATCTACGCCATGCTCCTTCGAGTTAAAGAACGATTTCACAAAGAAAACTATCGAAACGTCTCCAAAAAACGGGAAACGTCAATAGACTTATCTAAGCTTCAAGGTTGGTATTTGCTGATATTCTACTATGTGCCTTTTTATCTCTTTTCGAACTTTTAAATGCAAGGCTTTTCTCAAAACAACTTAGAAAATATAGTAGCTCTAATATTCTACAACATAAAGGAGTAAATGAAGATGGAATTTAAATAGTCTTATCAGAAGCAAATATTAAAAGAAGTAAACTGGTATTTTTCATTAAGCCCTTTAAATTTGTTTACACTGTGGAAATAATAAATACATCACTTATTTTCCTGTACGTACAAGCAGACATTATTACACCTATTAATTACAATTTCGATTAATATTTTTGCAGGATTGAGACTATGTAAATTATGTAAAATTCACCTTGCTATGTTTCTATAACGAGTCACAAATCCCATCTCGTTTAATGCCATGCTTCATCATCTGAAATGAATCAACGGTTCATATGATTGTGGCAGCGATCAGTTTTAAATCTAAGTTAAAGAAACGCATCCTGAGGCAATAGTGTTAACTATCACTACAATATGTGAACAGCGAGACTTAAGAATAGTAATTTAGAAAGGACAACAACATCCTAAATAAAGGGCCTTTTCAGAATCTGTCATTGAATATTATATCAGTAGGTGCTTCACGTGTTGTTCCATTGGTACCTCATCCCTTTAACCCGGATATCATAGATCTCATGACTGTCAATTCGAAGGAAAACAACAATAAGAGCGATGTCAAGCTACCTTATGAATTAATGTATGACTGCCCCTATATATATATATATATATATATATATATATATATATATATATATATATATATATATATATATATATATATATATATATATATATATATATAGGGGCAGTCATACATTAATTCATTCATATATTGTTTAAATCAATAGTTTTTGCAGGGAAAGATTAATCTTATCAAACTCATTACAGTTTTTAGCATTTAGCTTTTACTTTTCAATACAAATAATTGTTTACTTCCACAGATTCTAAAACCAGAAATTTGTCCCGATGCCTGAGTTTAGATTATTCCCGAAATGAGTGCAATGATGTACATAGAAAGAAAGATGGACATCACGGAAACCGATCACATAGTTCTTTATCCTGGGATCATCTGACTACCGACAACGTCCCAAAGTGGAGGAAGAGTTCAAAAAGAACATGATAGACTTTCATATTTCTACTCACCATTTCAACGCGAAGGGAAACAAGGAATACAGAATGACATAGAAGGAAGGACGAGACAAACTTGATTAAAGGAACTATTAAATATTTTAGTCTTTTTAAAACAAATTGTTGTGTACGGTTATCGCGGTAGTTATTCCTGGGTTTTGTTTCTCTGAGCTAGATAACAGACATAACGGGCAAAAAACAAGGAAGAGACAAAGAAAGATATGAGACAACAATATATTAAATACGCCTATCAATTTAATCCCCAATTCAATTGTTGCACCCTTTTGTGTAAAACTTGAATTTCCCCCAAATCTTCAATCAAGTACTTTCCAAACTTATGGAGACTTAAAATATATTTGAGATTAACTTTAAATCCTGACTAAATATTATGTCAGATTAAATGGCAGCGCATATTTCGTATTTTTTTTGTACACTTATCAATTGTTGTGGATGTAATATTTGTAAATATACACTCAGAAGTTAAATTTTGTTTAGATTGCTGTTGACGTTATAATCAGTTGCAAAAGTTTTAATTTGCTTTGGAGATATGTTTCATTATGATAATCTCTATAAGACTCACCAAATATAGATAGTACATGCCTTCCTTTAAATTATCTATTGATCATAATTTCATCTTGATACAAAGAAACAAAACACAGAAAATAAACAAAAACAATCGCCAGGTTTTAAAACTGCGGACGAGGTTTCATTTTATTTTAATATATATATATATATATATATATATATATATATATATATATATATATATATATATATATATATATATATATATATATATATATATTTAAACAAATAATGCTGGCAGACAAGTAGCATGGTGTCCGGCCCAGTCACATTATACTGACACCAGGCCGACCAGTCCTAACACTAACCTCTTAATGCTGAGCGTCAAGCGAGGCAGCTCTTAGTATCATTTCTGTAAGTCTTTGGTA